GAGAGAGTGCGGGACAGAGGAGAGTGATCTATCAGTGAATAGCTGTTGCCAGCTCTCTTTCTTCTCCCATCAAAACAGGAGCCCTTTTTCTTTCTTCACATTTAAATAAAGTTCACATTTCAATGAAAAAGATAACAATAAACTCAGATTTGGTAACACAACTAGGGTAAATATTATTTTAGTTGGAAATTTTACCCTAAATTCTCACCTCTTTGAGTCAATAATACGATTTTGCATACTAAAAAGATTCGAATTCTAAACGCATCTCTTCCAAATAAGAGAGACTCTAACCCACAAATAGAGATTCTGAATCGATATTTTGAGTTTAGAGTCACACGTAAAATGTTCGTTTTGGGAATTTGAAAAAACTCCTAATTAATATTTGGTACGTGCTTAAAAATCGTGTCATAATTATTAGGTTTAGAGAGACTTGAGTAGCAAGTTATTTGTCTACTCATTTATTTACACTATTTAACTTTCTAGATTAGCTTTTCTGGTTCGACGCCAACAGCATAAGGGAACCCAAACCAAGAGGATTTATATTACAGAAAGCAGTTTTGTGGATGTTATATAGTCGCTCGTGAATCGTGATGGACACTAAAGTAATACTTTAACTACATAATTACCTCAGTGATTTCTAGTACTTATAATGGATCTTCAGATTTATCTACTTTATCAAACAATAGATCAAATCTCAACAAAAGTGATTAAAAAAAAAACCTAATTAGATCGAGATGTAAATGAATTATTATTATTACTATGTGAGTGGAAGATAATGCTTAATCATTCTTAATCAGTCGAAATATTTATATAATATACTCCACAAACGAGATGCTGCTGTTATACTAATCCATCGAAAGAAGATTACAAACCCTTCGTTTTTTAGGGAATATACTCATTATACTTTTCACTAATTATTCCTCTTTAAACAAAATTAATTGCAAGTGGGTACCTTTAGATAGAGGCATAGAGCTAACTATAATAATGAATTAAAGCTGTACCAGATTTATCATTATGAGTTCTTATCTCATTCAATATCACTATTAATTAGCATTTGCATATTTTTGTGTGCACATGATGAAAACAAAAACACTGATAAATTTGTCAGAAAGTTAGTATATGCGAATTGATGTATATTACTTCACACTAAATTCCTTTTTCTGTGCACATGATGAAAAATAAAAAAACCACTGAAAAAGTAAAAACATAGGTTTATTTCGCAGGTGATTTGTAATCTTAATTATATTTTAGCGCTTTCCTTTTAATAAGTTGTATCAACAACATTGTAAAATCTTAAAAAAGAAAGTGGTATAATCTTAGAATGTGATTGGTAAACAAAAAGTAGAAAAATAATTCTACTGAAATTTTTCTGGGACCCACTAGTGTAGAATATTTTTGTTTTTTTAACAAAGGTTTTGTTTTTTTGGTCTGGTAGAAATGTTTCTTCTCATAAAATGGAAAAGAAAAAATGACTCTCCTTCTCTTTCTAAATGGTTCCTAGAAGAATTATTTTTCTTTTCTTCTCCACCAATCACATTTACCCAAAAAAGAAGAAGTAAAAAAACATCTCCATCTAAAAAATCTATTATATAATCAGAGGGTTCTCTCTCCATATAATATATCCACATAGACAAAAATATTTTTTCTTAACAATAAAA